ACCATATCTGCTATTCAGATTATATTCTAAACCCAACCTGAAGGATGATTCAGGTTATTGTCTTTTCACTAGGATATGCAGGGTATCACAAAACCATAACGCTCCCTTTACAATTTCAAGCATCAATGATGTCGACAGAAATCTATTTGACATCGTTCGATAGAGCTCGACGAGCCCTATCAAACGATGTCAAATACATATCTGTCGACATCATTGGTACTTGAAATTGTAGAGGAGGCGTTATGGTTTTGTGACACGTTTTATATTTGTATCAATCTTTATTTCTAAGAATCTCGTTTTTGTTGATAAGTTTGTCAGATATGAGTTCGAATATTTTTCCTATATTCTTTCAATATAATGAGTTGAAGAAATTCTAGTTAATGTTGACGTATTTCGTACTTGATATACCTAAAATATGTCAATCTTTGATTTATTCCGAGAAAATCTAAATTATTGAAATCAACAAGATAAAAATATAATTTGTTAGTGCAAAGAAAAACAAGTGGACATTTTCTGATTATGTTCAGAAACAAAACTAATCATTTATTTTTCCTTGTTGAAAGGTTGATAACTATATAACGATAAATTATCAATTGTTATCTTATCTTACTAAAAGTATGTCTATATCAACAAAAAAATAAACAATTATATCAATCTTTTCTTTTTCTACCTATTCATTAAAAGACAATTTTACTTTTCTTCCTTTTTATATTTAAATCAATAATCGGATTTATAATCGTTTCACTTTTCAAAACAAAAATTTCACGAACAAAAACAGTTGACACTTAGATAAATAAGTTATTTTATTGCTCTCACTCTTCTCCATGCTTGACATACTAAGCTAATGGGAAACATTTTTGAATACCATCTATTCTTTCATAGGATGGCTTCGATCTTCGTATTATTCCTACTCTAGAACAATTATCTCTTGCTTGTTCTTGATTTTGACCGATTATTGTCAATAAAATATACTTGTTAATACCGAGTTCAATTAGAGAAGGAAGACCAATTTGACAAAGAAATTGTTGAGCATAATCCATATGAATATCGTATAAAATTAGTAGAGCTAAATGAGAAAAGTCAATGTTACCTTTTATCATTCTCATTTTTTCTTGTTCTTCGAGTTGATTAATTATTTCGAGTGTTCGAAGTCGAGGTAAAGCTCGAGCAACACGCTCAAAACAAAAAACATTTTCGAAAGGTTTAATATGATGAAAAAGTAATAAGATAGGAACATTTGAGAATGTTTTATTAATATCAATCAGTGGAAATCGATTTTAGATAAAATCAAGACGAGTACCAATAAATCGAAGTGAATATATTTTATACTGTACATTGTTATTCTTCCAGTGATCGAGTACACAATTAAAGAGTTGTTGCCCTTTCAGAAAACTTTGACGAATTTGGACAATTGTTATATGAGAAGGATTTTTTAATATTGGACGAATATTAAAATTAAATTGACGTAAATAAAGCATCTATGGAAGAATATTTCTTTCTAAGGTAGATCCATCAATAAAATGATTAGATCTGATACCATCTTTCCCTATAACCTAATAATCATCTTAAATATTCGACATTTGACAAACGTTCTAGAAGAAAAATACATTATTCATAATTATTTAAATTACGATAGATTCTCATTCTCATTTGTTTTAAATTAGGACACGAGATCTAAATGAATAAATTCATTGAAATGTCAAATCAAGATATCTTACTTACTGATCTCATTTTATAGATTAAATCGACTTGCTCTAGAAAATAACTTCCTATACTCACTATCAATGAATGAAGTTGTGACCCTAATTGACTAAGTAAATCAATGCATTGATAAAAATTCCATAAAGATATACGAAGATGAGTTAATCGACTTAATTGATCGAAGTGTGATTGACCATTGTAAACTGTTACGAGTAACATACAGTTATCATCAAGTTTTAACGATTGAACAGAATGCATAAATCGTGAAGGACACAAGTCAGCTAGCTTTTTACTAATACTGTCGTTAGGCAATAGAAAAAATTGAGGTAGAATTGTGAATAGAAGTTTGCTCATTGCAAGGGTGTACATCTCGAAATTTCTAAAATAAATCTATACCAATGTCAGAATATTATATTTGTCAAGATAGTTAGTTTTCGATATGATCAGAGAATAAATTGACAAGACTTTTTCATCGTTTTTTTTTCAGGTACACCTATTCATAGAAAAGTTTTCATTCGTTGAAAAAGAAATTCGATGATTTAGAAAGTTTTTCGTTCATTATTTTCAATTGTCTAGTGATTCTCTAAATGAAAGTAGAGAATAAATATCTTTTACATAAAACAACATCATCAACAAGAGATTTTAACTATTAAATGACAAAATCTTCCTTATTTTCACACCAAAAAATAAACTAACACTATATATAAATAGAATTTTTAAAAAAAATCCAATCAATAATAAGTTACCTATTCTATAAGATATGCCTGTTTTACTACGTTTAACACCTAACATTATTTTCAAGTCTCTCACATTTGGAAGAGTTCCATTGCAGTTATTTTCAACATAACTTTTAATAGATGAAATGTTAGAAAGATTGATTCTTAACGATTGAATATAATCAGTGATACGAGGCATGACATCGAAATAAAATCGTTTCATAACTAGATTATATCACGCTTGAACGATAATCAAATGTTAAATTGATTGAATTACATATATCAAATACAAGTTCTTACAAACGATTATTACCAATACTAATCATAGAACAAACCAATAATACTTGAGGAGTTACTTTATTCATGATAAATAATATTAACTCATCAGGTAAATCGAGCAATTCAACAACATATTTTATAGAGATAAATTATTATATTAATCATACTTTTAACTAAATACATACTCATTTATGATAAACAATTTATTCTTGATATGTTGCGTCCTATCTAGATTAAAACTGACATTGACTATATATATATGAAGAGATTATGCTTGATGAACATTGTCTAAATGAGAAGCAATCATTAATGATCAATTATTATAAGAAAGAAAAGGTGCACTATAGAAAGAAAAAAAATATGTAGACTAATCAACAAGTAACGCGTCGGCTCTATGAGCCTCGCTTAGCTCAATCCTGAAAGCTCGAAAACATATCATGCGACATAGGCTCGTACATCGCTAAACGCATTCATAAGTGAGATTGAAATATTACCAAAGAAACTTCTTCCATGACCAGAATCATCAGGATATATTGAAATCTATTTATATTCAGATAATGTATTGCACATCATTCTTCTGTATGTAAAATATGTCTGTTTATACTACGCTTGGAACATGTGTCATTGTCCAGTTCGAAGAGTCCAACTACTGTATCTTGTCGCATTCGATCGGATTCAATATAGGATTATATAAAAAATGGTCTGATTTCGACTTCTTTCGGTCGGATACTGTTGGATTGATTTAGAAATTAAGTGATCCGGAATCCATCGAACATTTACTTACCAAGGTCAAGCAAGCAGACGGTAAGATGTTACATGATACTACCTCCGATCTTGTATGATCCTGTAACGTCATACGGAAATCGTACAAAAATCGTGGCCCCAGAAATCTTACATCAAGTCGCACATTGAGGCTCTTGAAAGCTCTTGCTGCTCTGTAGGAAATTCCAAAAAGATTATAGAAAATCTTGTCCAACGGTAAGATCTTACAAGAATCTTAAAGCGCAATTTGATGTAAGATTTCTGAGACCACAATTTTTTGCAAAATTTC